ATCTATCTATCTATCTATCTATCTATCTATCTATCTATCTATCTAATCTTATATGCCTCCCATCTGGCCTGGAGGCAACTGTAGGTGACAGACAGTCATTAAACCCAATAAAAATACATTATTTAAACAATAACCTTCATTTACAGGGAGTCTTTGACTTATGACCACAACTGATTTTCACCCTGCCCTCCCCCCCTTTGCGTCCCCTTCCAGACACCGTATGCACAGCCTGCATTGATTCTGGACCGAGCGAGAAGGATTTCTTGGAGAAAGTCTGCAACCAGGATTTCGGTAAGTCTGGAGAAGGTTGGACAGCCATTGGCCGGGAATGGTGTAGAATCTCCTGCTCAAGCAGCGGGTTAGACTAGAAGACCTCCAAAGTCCCTTCCAGTATTCTGTTATGAAGATGGACAGTTTCAGGAAGTAGGTAGGTCTAACGAAGAGAAGGACCAGGGGGGACAGGATAGCAGTCTTCCAATTTCTCGGGGGGGGGGGGCTGCCCCAAGGAATAAGAGGTGGTCAAGCTATTCTCCAAAGCCCCTGAAGAGGCAGGACAAGCAACAGATGGAAACTCATCAAGGAGAGAAGCAACCTGGAATTAAGGAGGAATTTCCTGACAGTGAGAATAATTAACCAGTGGAACTGCTTGCCACCAGAAGTTGTGGGTGATCCATCTGGCATGTATGTTCCTCTTGGCTTTTAGGGGCTCACTAAGAAAGGATTTTTCGCAATGACCCTCAGAGCATTTAGAGTATTTCCTATATTATTATTATTATTATTATTATTATTATTATTATTATTATTATTATTATTATTATTATTATTATTATTATTATTATTATTATTATTCTCTGATGCTCAGGAGTTCCACTCCCCCTCCCCACCTGGAAAGAAATCTCTTCCAAAGGCAAAACACAAGCAGAGGAGGTTCAGTTTCACAGCAGCACCAAGTAGCTTTTAATACAGAACAATTGAGCTAAGCCACGCCCAGGCTCCTTGCTGTCTCCTTCTTGCTCACACAGCAAACACTCTTTCTGTTTCCAAACAGCCCTCTACTCTCTCATACACTGACAGGATGCTAGCCAATGAATACCTCCCCCCAAACTAAGCCCGACCACGTAGTTTCGTATTGTCTGGAATGGTACAGGGTCTCTCTTGTTTGAGAAAGGGGTTGGACTGGAAGACCTTGCAAGGTCTCCCTGTTGTTCCGTATTAACCCTTGACCTCCAGTTGGCCTCTCCTTCTCCCTCTTCCAGCTCTGAAGATGACCATCAAATCCTTGTCCGGTGTTGGGGGCGACCTGAAAGTCATCCCGGAGCTCCGCGGCCGGACGCTTTACAAGCAGGCCAGCTGGTCCGAAGAGGAGCGGAAGAAGCCGGTCCTGTGGCTGGCGGACGGGGAGGCCTGCTCCTGTGAGGAGCTGGCCGGAGGGCCGGGCACCGTGGTGCTGGCCATGGGGCACCGCCTCAGCAACCGCCTCGTCCTCTCCTGGGTCCGGAGGTGGAAACACGGGGAGAAGGAGCTGAAGAGGTTCTCCAGGGCAGTGCGGAAGCTGCAGTGTTAGAGGGGGCTGCTCCGTAGCCCATCATCCTCTGCCGGCTGTGGACCCTCAGGGTGGGAACTGGGCCTGCCCCAAACCTTGCAGGCAACTGGCTTTCCCAGACCGCAGACGGACTGACACTCAAGGGGTAGCTAGCAAACTCCAAGTTACTGTAGAACTGAGCGAGTGACTTACAACCATTTTTCACAATTATAACCCTCGGTGCACAGTTACATGCAGGATCAGGTGATCAAAATTCAGAGGCTCGGCAACTGCTTTGTACTTATGACAGTCCCAAGATCACTCGATCCCCTTTTGCGACCTTCTGACGGGCAAAGTCAATGGGGAAGCCAGATTCACTGATCAACCAGGTTACTAACTTATCACTGATTCACTTAACAACTGTGGCAAGAAAGTTCATAAAATGGGACAAAACTCACTCTCTTAACAACAGAAGTTTTGGGCTTAGTTGTGGTCATAGGTGGAGGACTCTGTAAAAAGACAGGGCGAGAAGCAAGGCAGAGGGAGGGCCCCTTTTTGCTGGACAATCACAAGTGCAGGAAACTGACAGGGAGCAATTCTGTTGTTGTTTTTTTAAAGCCAGAGATGCAGCAATATTAAAATTTGCAGCCTGACTTGCGTTGATCGGGAAACCATTTCAGATTATCAATTTAATGCCCACCTAAGAACAGAGGCTGTGCCCAGCTAGAAGGCACCTGTGGCAGCTCTCTCCTCCCAGTGCCCCATCAAACAGCCCACGGAAGGCCACTGCCAGGTAGCAGGTGGCCATCAGCCCACATTGGCACAAAAATAACGTGGCAGGTTTCTGGTGGTTCATCCTTGGGCAATTATTAACCTGGTGAATTGGCAACCCAGGGTAAAACCCAGAAAATGGGTGGATTTGGTGGCCAGGCAAAACACAATTCCTGACCCACTGAGTCATTGGCACCGACTGGGACCCAAGTGGCCACCAGCTCTCTTCAAAGGCCCTGCTAAGGAAGGGGTTGGGGACGCCCACCTCCAATGCCACGTTGGTCAGTTTTGTGCCATAGGCTGGACCGAAGTGGTCTTGGCTAAAGGGTGTGTGTGTGTGTTTCAGCATTTCATGGGTTTCCAGCCATTGGCACCCCAGAATGTGGAAATGGCCTGAGTAAGATTTGCTCTCTGCCAAGTGCCAACCTATTTGATAAGTTCCTCAGGCATCCAAGGTGGGCATGAGGGACCCAACAGGAACAGATCTCTAGAGCAGGGGGTCCCCCAAACTTGACCACTTTAAGACTTCAACTCTCAGAAGTCCACAAGTCTTAAAGTGGCCAATTTTGGGGACCCCCTGCTCTAGATGTTTGGCAGCTCAAACCTCCCTGCGATTGATACACTGCATGGAAAGCCTCCTCATGCAAGCAGGGTCTACCTGTCTTCTCATTAATCCAGGTTGGTGAAGGTTAGGGTCATTTGATGTACCAGAAAGGTCCGTCTGCCCGTAATTCTGACAAAACCCCTTTCTTTTGCGATATCCCAAATGCCATCAGAAGCTGCTCCTGAAAGTCAACCTGTTATTTCTGTCCTGTGATTCTCTCTCTTTTTTTGTTATGCCTTTAGTGAAATAGTTTGCTGTTATTAAAGGAAGCCCCGTGTACCCAGCCTGTTGGTTTAATTTCTAGACGGTGGGGGAGAAAATCGTGAAGGAAATTCAATTCTGGTCACCACGATGTAGAAAAGAGGTTGAGACTCTGGAAAGAAGGCAGAGAAGAGCAACAAAGAGGATTAGGGCAGGGGTCTCCAACCTTGGCAACTTTAAGACTTGTGGACTTCAACTCCCAGAGTTCCTCAGCCAGCTTTGAAGTCCACAAGTCTTAAAGTTGCCAAGGTTGGAGACCCCTGACTTAGATGAACCTTCTGGTCTCTCCCAACTCTATCATTCCTGGCTGGCTGAGGAACT